CCTCTTCAACCCCGAATTGATGCCCTCCGAGGCTGTCGTGATTGTCCGCTCATGTTGCGGGAAAGTGTCGATGAAAAGTGTCGGAGCACACGTGTGCGTAGCGTAGCGCTTTGCTCCCGATGGCGCGCAGCTGATGGGCCCCGAATGGAAGCGGTCAACGACAAACAGAATGAACTTTGCCAGTTGCGGTACCCGGTTCAGCATCCACTCTTGCGCGTTGCACGAAGCGTCCTCCACGACAGTCATGCCCCGCAGCGTCTTGAAGGGAAACCGGGTCAGGAGAATTGTCCCGAGGTCCAAGACCGACTCGCCGCCCTTGAGCCAATGGTACCCGAGGGGCGCCCGATCTTGGCAGCATGCGATGAAGATCCCGGCCCGCCCCTTGAATGATCGTGGGTTGGGGGCGCTGCAGTGTTGAGTTAGACGCTCCTCCGACCCCTTCTTTCCACGGCCCGCCTCGTCTTCCCAGTCCACGAATCGCGGCCGCCCGTACAGCAAAGGGTGGAACGCGTACGCCGAAACGGCGGCAACCCGCTCCGCGCAGAGTGTTGACGGCGCTCGAAGGAACCCGCCCTCTTCGTAGCATGAGGGCTCGCGGACCTCGAGCTCGAAGAGGACCGAATTGGCGGCCCACTTTAGAACTGCCCCCCTTTGCTCCGCGTACTCCATCGCGGCCGCCTCCACTTGGCCCATGAGCCTCAGCCTTTCCCCTTCGATCGTCCACAGGTGTTCGGTCGCGTCATGGAGGGCAGCCAGAGGCGACCGCGAATTGTGCGAGCTGGGCCGGTTCGCACTGGGCTCAAAGCACAGGAGGTTCGTGGCGTAGATGTCCCGCACGAGTGGCCGCAACGTCCTAGGGAATGCGTGCAACCCTTCTGCCGTGGGATGGAGGCGCAGAACGGCCGCCAGCATGGGGCCGTCGTTGGAGAGGTATGCCATGCCTCGCGCGTCGAGGGGCCCCTCCAATAGCAAGTGGCGCAACAGCTTGAGGGTGACGATGCGCCCAAACACCCAGGAGTACCTCGGAATGAGCAGGGTATGGAGCAGGGCTCCGTATGGTTGGAAGTGGGTTGGGCACCAACCGGTTGGCCCCACCGGCCCCTCTTTGAGAAACCCTTGCATCCAAGGCCGCCTCGGAACCGCCTGGCAGACGGCACACGTGGCAGGGTCGGCGCACGCCTCCGCCTCCGTCACGAAGTCGATCAGGGCAACGACATTTGCCGGCAGCCCTTCTCGCATCATGACAAATTCCTCCGGCTTTAAAGGCGCGTTGCTCCCTTGGGCCGCAGCTTTTCGGAAGTTGCACCACCTCTGCACGAGTGATCGCACGGCCGGCCGCAACTCAGAAAGTCCGTTTCGGTACTTCCAAGGGCAGTCGATCCCCTCTGGCGCCACGTCCAAAGGCGCTCGGCTTCCGCCCTGTGAGGGCCGCACCCCGCCCACGCTCAGTGAAGTGAAGCCGCCAGCAACCCTGGGCGCCCCCGGATCCGGCTCGCATATGCTATGCAGCGACACTTCCGTGGTCGAGTCTCGCATGGCGCTTGCGTTGGCAAAGAAGGTGCCGTCAAAGGTGATGACCTTGTCTCGCCCAAACGCGTACGTTGCCAAATCCGAGGTCAACCCCTCCGTTCGCTCCGCCTTCAGAGGGACGCCAGATGCATGCGCCTCCGCCTCGGCCGCCTCCACCTCGCTCGTGTACAGGTGCGCGCAATTGGAGCGCGAGCACACGTGCTGGATCCGTGCGCGTGCCGCCAGGTCGTTGAAGGCTTGCATGGCCGAGTCGAACACCCGATCGTCTAGCCTAGGGACTCCGAGCCCCTCCAGGCATCTCGCGGCCATGTCGCCGGCCTCAAAGTTGAGGCTGTGGGCTGCCCCTAGGGCCGCCGCAAAGTGGTTGCGCAGGAGGAGGCCGTGCGAGAGGAGCGTCGTGCCGGAGAAGTTGAAGATGCCGTCCTCCTGTAATCAAGCAGCAGTCAAGAAGATCAATTGTCATTGCGTTCAGATTATGCTGCTTCTTTCAATGGCCATTGCAGAAGGTGGACATCTGGCATGAACACCAACGCACAATTTGGGTCAGTGCTCAGTATCATTGCTGAAAATGGAAAGCTCGATCTGGAAGATCTCTCAGCTGCCGCATGTACGTGCAAGGATGCGTACGATTACGTTGGGACAAAAGTGCACAGCTATCCACAATCAACCAAGATGCCTTTGCCAGGCCCACATCCTTGCATCAAAGTGTATCCAATGCAAGCATGTTTATCGTGCAAGCAGTCCAATCTATGCTTTCGATGGCCCTTCCCTCCTCATCATGAAGCAGTAGTTTGCGATGACTGTATTGGAAGGCGATACAATCTCCTGGACTGCGTGACCACTATGGATGCCCGGCGCAATTATCAAATCCGTGATCTTTCCGGCCTACCATGGGTGCCTGATCCAAGACCGTCATGCAAAGCACGATACTATCTCAAATGGAAATTGATCCTAAAAGCGCTCCAAGAGCATAATGGACCACGAGGTTTCAGGGAGGCCCGTGATGCTAGAGATAGAAGAGCGATGGCTCGATTGGAGAAGAAGAGAATTGCGAGAGGAGATGATTTTGAAGAGTGATACTCACCTGGCCGTCGTAAGCAACCGAGCAGCATGCCGCCTCTCGTCCCGGAGCAATCCGGCAGACCCTCCGATAGGTAGTAACCTCGTAGCGTGCCCCCGCCGTCGTCAGGGCAGCCTTTCTGATCTCCACCTGCCATGGGCGGCCGCAGGGAGAGAGCGGGTCCAAGGGTCGAGGTGCACAGAAGTGCTTCGCCTTGTCCCTCCGTTGCACGCCCTCCTCGCCCCAGCGCTCGCAGAGGCTCGTGACACTCGCCCCACCTCTACTCATGATCGTGTCAATCTTCTTGTGGCTGTGGCCCATGTCAAGCGCCGCCGCCGGCAGGCACTCCCAGGGCTCGGACGTCTTTTGGTGTGTGCACTCGACCTTCGAGTCCGGCCGCCGACAAAGGGGGTCGTTGCAGACCATGAGCCTCCTGGCACCGGCTTCCCGCTGCTCGACCCTTTCTGCCCGCCGATCAGCAAGGGGTCGCATCGCCCCGTTGGCTGAGGGCTCGCTCTGGGGCAAGGATTGCTTCGAGCACACCCTCGACAGGTGTTGACACCTCTCCTGCCCCGCACACTCGATGCCGCTGCAGTGCGTGCTGGTGCCTTCGAGCGTGCAAACCACCGGTGTCTCTCCGGGACTGCTCATGACAAAGACCCGAAGCTGTGGCCCACCCCTCCACGCCTCCGCATCTGGCCCGTGCAACACATTCCCCACGCACCCTCTGTGGTTCAGTGGCAACAACCACGGCACGCCGCTCGTGACCTCCCGCACAAACGGGCGGCTTTCGTCAAAGGCCGTGAAGATGGCCTCCCCGCCGTGCCACCAGCCGCTCATGCGCCGTGTCTCTTCCAAAAACGCCATTTCGTGATCCCGGCACCCCCTCTGGCCGCATAGACACTGGAAGCTGCCCATGTGGTCAACCTTGACAAGTCGAGGCACATTGACGAGGCCCCGATTTGTCGTCGAGATGTCTAGAAGGCGCCCACTACAGGCGTCGAGCTGTGGGACGAGGAATAGGCCGGGAGCAACAGCCATTGGAGGGATTCTGCTCCGGCCCATCTCTGACAGGATTGCCATCGGGCCGAGTTCTCGTGGGTTTGGTTCTTCCTCAAGGGCTCGCTTGACACCGCGCCTCGCTGGAGCATCCCCCTTGGGCTCAACGCGACAGTGCAGACACGGGTCGAGATCCCGTCTTTGAACAAAGAACTGATGGCCGCCCTCACTCGCCTCCTCCCCTGACTGTACCTCTCAAAGCTCCTTCGTCCCGGGGAAGGCTTCATACTTGGTAAAGAGCTCTTGCTGAGGAACGGGGCATCCGCTCGCGCTCGAGACAAAGGGGCGACCAGCTTCATACTCGGCCTCTACGCACCGCAAGCACAGGAGGTGCCCTCCCCCACCTCGGCAGACCAGTGCCCCACCCCGGTTCCGTTTCCTCTCCCAGATGAACGGCTCACTTCCCCTTGCGTAGACCGCCCCCTTTCCGCCACAAATGCGCCCGATGCACGTCGATCCAAGTCCGCCTCGAGCAAAAGCTCCAGCAGGCCGCAGACTGAAGGCAAACCCATAGTCGAACATAAAGTCCGTGCCCCCCTGCTTGGCTGCATAGGACGGGCGCCCTCCTCGCACGCCCCCAGCATTTGGCAGGGGCGAGACGGCAGCCGGAACGCTTCTGATGTCGCCAAAAAGTGGAGCCGAGCCCTGGAAGTGGACTGCCGCGTAGCTCCGGACGGCTTGACCACGGGCTAGCGCCTCATGCAATTGTGCGTTGGCGGCGGGGTTGGTTGAGGCGAGGAGCACGACATCGGAAGGCTCTTTCACATCTCGAGAGACCGTCGCCGGGTCCATCCTGCCACGGAAACGAAAGAGAAGCTCTGAGCTTTGGTCGTTCTCAATCTCCCTAAGCTCTTGCAAGACTCTAGTGGGTTCTCTTGCATCTTGGAACAGCGCCATCAGCATCCACCTCAAGGCAAAGCAGACTCTGGCATTTGAGCCCGCATCTTATCCCTAAGCTCTTGCAAAACGCACAATCCTACTCATGATCGATGCGAAAATTTAAGGGTCGTTGGCTAATCTCACGGGCAAGAAAGGAGCATGTTGGCACAAGCTGGCGGTGCTTGCTGAAGGTTGACAAGGTCCGGAGAGGCCCGTGCTGGTGCAACGCGGCAAGGTTGGGCGAGAACTGGCAGCATGTGGGCCAAAAGTACCATGGACCAGACTTGAAGTCGGCATAACCCCTTGACCGTTGCCAGCCTGCAGATAAGATGTTGTCGTGAAAAGCATAAGCGCTGAGAGAGTCGCGGCAACCCTGTGCAAGACATGGGCGCTCACACGGGCAGCCATTTCCAAACTTCCAGTGGCATTTCCAAACCGTCTGTGGCAACCAGTCAGAACTTCCTCCATGAGTAGAAGCTTTGTATACCTCTAGGTCAAAGCTTTTGACTCGTAGGCAAGACCGTCTTTTTTGGAGAACGCTGTGAGTGATAGTGCACACCAGTCAAAAGTTCCTTTGTATGTACAAGCTTTTCATCGCTTGAGGACGAGACTTTTGACTCGTGATAGATTTCGTCCATTTTCCCAAAAATTTGTAAGTGATAGCGCAAGACAGTCAAAAGCTCCCTCGTGAGTAAAAGCTTTTCATCCTCTGAGGTTAGAAATTCTGACCTGATTGTAAGGCCGACCATTCCACCAATAATCCAATAGATGTTGTGAGTGATAGCGCCCACCAGTCAAAAGATCCCTTCTGATATAAGCATTTGAGCTTCTCAAGACAGAACTTCTGACTTCTCCGCAAGGTCGACCATTCAACGCAAGATTCTCAAAAGCTGTGGGTGATAGCACCCACCAGTCAAAAGTTCCCTCTTGATATAAGCATTTGAGCTTTTCAAGACAGAACTTCTGACTTCCTCGCAGAGCCGACCATCCCACCAGCAATTCGACAGATATTTTTGACTCGCTGCAAGACCGACCATGCATTCTACCAACAGTGAGTGATATGGTGATAGCGCCCACCGTTCAAAAATCCCCTCCTGATATAAGCATTTGAGCTTTTCAAGATAAACCTTCTGACTTCCTCGCAAGGCCAACCATTCCACGCAAGATTTTCAACACTGTGGGTGATAGCGCCAACCAGGCAAAAGTTCCCTCTTCATATAAGCATTTGAACTCTCAGAAGACCGAAGTTTTGACTTCTTCGCAAGGCCGACCATGCATTCTACCAACAATCCAACAGGTGTTGTGAGTGATATAGTGATAGCGCCCACCAGTCAAAAGTCTCCACTTGACGTAAGCAAATAAGCTTTTCAGACCAGAACTTTTGACTCGCTCGCAAGGCCAACCATTCCACGCAAGATTCTCAAAACGCGGTGGGTGATAGCGCCCACCAGTCAAAACTTCCCTCTTGATATAAGCATTTGAGCTTTTTAAGACAGAATTTTTGACTCCCTCGCAAGGCCAACCATTCCACGCAAGATTCTCAATGGTTGTGTGTGATAGCGCCAACCAGTCAAAACTTCTCTCTTGATATAAGCTTCTAAGCTCTTCACAACAAGAGTTTTGACTTTCAGCCTCTGAAGACACTACGTCCACGGTAGTAAAGACCACTGCTAATAGCGGCGACCAGCGACGCGCACGCAAGGGAGGCATAACAACCTGATTGTGTCGCATGATAAGCGCAGCTATGTGTCAAAGTTGAACGCCCTGCCCCAATGAGTTCCATTGAAATTCAACTCGTTTGAAAGTACAGTACCACCCTCCTCTTGCAAAGCAAGCGGCATAGGCTGGAAAACATCCAAGAAGCTCAATAGAGCAAATGCCCCCAGCTCGCCGTCAGCACTTCAGTTGAATGCGATCAAAAAGAGAGTTGTGCACTTGAATGATGATTGCACACGCAAAAATGCCAAGGTCCACCGGCGGCGTATTGCACACACACCTTGATCAGGAGTTGCAATATTGCGACGCGACCAGATCATTGTAATGGTCGATCTCGCCTCTCGCTCACCATAGCGCTGCTGAATCCTTGCGCAATCTTTGAATCCAGAAGTTCACATACATATGGTGACACAGTTCGTGGAACAGAATGTAGGTCCTTGGCTGAGTGCACTTGGGGGAGGGCCAACGCGAAGACTTGGGGCCGCTCAGCCGAGTGGCTTAGCTCAGTGTACATAGTGACAGTGACATGGAAGGCTCGCGGCTTGCCAGAACCTTGCAAGTGGTCTTGCGAGTCAGGCAGCCTTCAATGTGGCTTTTAAGATGGCCTAGGCGCATAGCTTATGGGTATGGGGCCAGACCGGGCACTTTCACTGCTTCCGGCCGAAATCCCTTATCGACGGTGCTCACAGAAACCCTGCTCATCGGACGGCCGAGCGAGTTAGGTGGGATTTGAGACTCGCGCCGCCCCGTGACAGGCTGAGCGCGCGCAGGCCGCGACGCCGGTTCCGAGTCCATCGGACCCGGGCCGTCCGAAGGCTGGCGCGCGGCCCCGCCGCGCGCGACGGTTGCTTTTCACTACCTAGGAAATTGGAAATTCAGCGGAAAGAAGCCTGCTCAGGCTGCCGCCTGACGTCAACAACTGTTTCACGAGCGCAACATGGCCCTTCGAGGCGTCTGGCACAAGGCGTGGCTTCTTCGATGGTCCGCAGCTGACCTCGAGCAATGCCGCGCATTCGCATCGACGGCATGCAGGGGCGCGGAGGGCCATCAGGCGGTGCAGCGGTGCAAGGCAGTGGTGCTGCCCCGTTTTGGCGGCCCCGAAGTTCTGCAGCTGAGGGACGGTGTGAACGTGCCCCCGGTCAAGGCGGGGCAAGTCTTGGTCAAGGTGCATGCGGCGGCGATCAACCCGCTCGACGTGCGGGTGAGGGCAATGACAGCTTGCTTTAAGTGCACCCGGGGTGATCATGCAAACCTTCTATGAAGTTTTCCAGATTCCTTTCATCTTCTATGATGTGGGGGATTCACAGAAATGAATATCCGCTGTCGCTACGGAGAGCACTTTCTTATGCAGATTGCGTAAAAGCGTCGTTTAGACTTTCAGACGGAGCCATGGAATGCTTCTTTGATGTAGGATCAGCCACTGTAGAGAAACTTGGGTGCCGCTCTCCTATCAGCAATTTGCATTGAAATTTACCAGCCAGTTACAAGCATGGAAGGTTCAGAAGTGGTGCGCCAAAACTCTCACCACTCTTTAACAAAGAACTCTGCAAATGTGCACCCACTCTGCGAATGTGCACCCGTTCCAATCGTACCGCTGATCAGAACGTATTGCAATCATTACTGGGGCGCACCTGCTGAAGTTAGAGATGCCAGCCATCAGTGCCCTGGCAACTGAAGAAAGCCAAAGGCACCCCAAATCCTCGTCTCCATCTCGATTTTACCATTTAACCAAAGTAATTTCAGTATGAACAGCGCTCACTTTCAATCTGGGTATCTGGAGCGCACAGAATACGCCGTCTGACCGATTGGCCCCTCAAGTCTTTTCACGTTCAAACTCCTAATAGAGTACCATTAAATGACTCTTGCAGATACGAGAAGGCTACGGAAGGTCCATCTTTGAGCCCCTCTTACCCTTGGTCCTGGGCCGGGACTTAAGTGGCGAGGTCGCAGCGTTAGGATCCGGCATCGGAAGCTTCAAAGTTGGGGATTCCGTATTTGGAGCCCTGCATCCGACGGCTGTCTTCGGGACATACAGTCAGTACACGGTCGCAGACTGCTCGGAGCTGCAACCAAAACCGCAGAACCTCTCGCACCGGGAGGCGGCGACGATACCGTTTGCGGCGCTCACGGCTTGGAGGGCTGTGCGGAGCATTGGAAAGCTGAAAAAGGGGTGAGGTGCAGCTTCAGGAGAATCTTCTGAAAGGTTTGTTTGGAAGAGAGGGTGCCTGGTGGAGGTGGATGATTGTACAGAAGCTGCGAGGATTCATGACCAATTACACCCAATATTGCTTGATTGGTGTGGGAATGAAGAAGGTTACAAATCAGAATTGCACAGGACCATGGCGTATGCCACCAGTACCCATTGAACCTATGGTAGGGTAGCCCCTTCGTGGACAAACGATCCCAGGAACTGTGCTACCTGCTGCAGGTGACCACATGCTACTTCTTTCATTTCTTTCAAAGTTGTTAACACTGCTTAAAAACCAATCAAACAGATCAGAGGTTGGGCTTTGATTCTTCGGAGCATTTTAAGGAGATGTACAGGTTGTCACACAAGTGTAAATGCCATCGTTCTTGGAACTTCTAGGCTTTTGAAACCAGGTTCTTAACGACGCAGAGTTTTCCTGAAGTATCTGCTCGAGTACCAGTCCTCCAGTCCGGACTCCCATCAACCATTCACGGAGTTTCTAACAACTAGTCTATCAAACAGTAAGGAGACTTTGGCTCCATTTCTGTTTCCAGGCAGCGTCTGATGGTGCTGGGAGCAGGGGGCGCGGTGGGGCTGTTTGTACCAATTGTTTAATCATGGACTGACTTCAACCAACGGACTGTCTTAACAATGAGACAGTCTACCTCCCGGAAAGTACTTCGACGTATGGAAGATTTGGCCTCATTTCGAGTGCAGGCAGCGGTTGATGGTGCTTGGAGCGGGGGGCGCTGTGGGCCTGTCTGCAATCCAGCTGGCGCGTGCTGCCGGGGCCGACGTGAGCTGCACGTGTGGCAACCGTAGCATGGACATCGTCAAGAAAGTGGGGGCGAGCCACGCGATCCACTACGCAAAGAGCGCAAAGGTGAGGCAAACAGGACATCGTTCCGTTTCTTTGGAGTCTGAACTCGTTTCTGGTTGTTGGCAGGTATGGGGGGCAGGGACGTGTTTTTGACCGTAGGCCAATATGGGGGCGTGGTGAGAGCTGTTCCGGCTTCAGGAGGAATAGATAGTAGGCCAAGCAGAAATAAGGAAGAGGTAGTGCCGAGTTGATGAAAGATTACTCTGCTGCTGCCTGAGGCTCGCTAGAAACTGTGGCTATGCTCGGGTCCCAGGGAGGAAGAAGTTAAGAGGATCAAAACGCGGGATATTGCTCACTGCTTTTGAAGGTCGTCTCTGCTCGCTAAGGATCTGTCCGAGAATGTCTATGTAATCATCGCGGACGCGGATGAGATGCTCAACACCGCTTTGTCTTCCTGGAGAGCTTCTGCAGATCCCGTCCATGTCACGATTTTGTGGGCGGTCAACATTTGCCCCCCGCTTGGGCCCACACTCGAACAAGAGTGGGCCGCTCAGAGGTTGGCTGCTCGACTAGGCTGACCCGAAAATACTTTACGGCTTCTCTGGGGCCCGTCCTGTTGCGACCAGAAACAGTGCAGCAGATGGCAATGGGCCAAGTTTTGGGTCCGCTCAGCCATCTCAGAGATGGAGCGGCTCAGGTCGGTTCGACCGAGGACGAAGGACTCCCTAAGAAACTCCGTATCTTCTTCGATTCCAATAGCTTATGGTAGCATTGCCTCCTCGCAGGAAGTGAAGCAAGCGGCGGAGGGCCATTACGACGTCGTTTTGGACGCACTGGGAAAGCCGGAGACGGAACAACTGGGAATCGAGCTTCTGCGCAAGGGCGGGCACTATGTCACGCTGCACGGAGAGACTGCCCGGTTGACGGACGAGTTGGGGATCGTGGCCGGGGGGGCGGCCTCGGTGGCGCAACTCGCGAGAAAGCGGCTGCAGTTCCAGTACTCGCACGGGGTTGGTGAGTGTCCACTTTCGCCTTATCTAAAATCATTTCGGTTGTGGTTCGTGGGAGGGGCGAGGTCTTAATAGGGAGTTTGGACGACACCAAGGGTTTACACGTAGGAAGTGGCTGCAGTATACGGCTCGGACCGGCATGTTGTGCTGGTTTGTCGTTTGAAAGTTGGGCCGACATTTGCTGGAAGTTTATGAGCGTCCTTCGGGTGTGAAATTATCTTTCCTTTCACCAGGCGCGCTGACAGCGGCAGCTTTTCTGTAGGTGTTGAGTTTGTGAGGCGATACAGAAGCTGAATCTGGGATTGCGGTGTGAGATTCATCTTCGAGGCCGCTAGGGTCTGGTGCTCTCGTGAAAGTCCTCGCAGAGTAGACTGGATTCGCCGCACCGGTTGCGGCACTGCTGGAATCAAGGCGCTCTTCTTCTCGTTCGGAAGGGTTGGTTTACGTTGACAGCAGGCTATCTAGATGCGATTGCTAAGGCAGCTTTGCAGAAGGCCAATGCTAAAAGCTTGACAAGCCCCTCGTTCGCGGTTCCTTTTAAAGTGGATCTGGAAGTCTCTTGATCTTAAAAGCACTTAAGTCTGGACCCCTCCCCTCGTTCGTTTGTTGACCGGTCGTGCATCCCCCTGGTACTGGAGGATCGGGGGAACCTTACGCTCACTCTACGGTTTGCGTTGAAGCATAACGATTAGAAAGAAAACCCCGTTCTCGCAGATTATTCGTGGGCGGTGATGCGGCCCGACGAGGATGCGCTGCACGAGATCGCACGGCTGGCATCGGACGGGACGCTGCACATCGACGTCGGGAAACACTTGCCGCTGAGCCACGTGGTGGAGGCGCAGGCGCTGCAGTACAGCAAGGACGTCCGCGGGAAAGTGGTGCTTGACGTGGAGTAGTTGGGCGTCCGAATATGCCATGCGGACATATGTTAAAATGAGCCACGTGTACATAAGTCTGATGAGTCAGGTGTACGTAAGCGAGACGAAAATTGTCGAGGAAACAAAATAATGCACGCGCAGTCAGGAAAGGTGAGCAGAATAGAGATGTCTGTACGGACGTACAGAAAGGGCTGAAAAACTGGACAAATATGTTGCAAGATCTACCGTATGCACACAAATCAAGGTGACTTATATCCGCTCAGGCTTTTTAAGGGCCATGCAGTGATAGAAAAGGAGCGCCAATCTCTGAGTATGACAACGTGGACCTCAAGGAGTATCCCATGAGGCAATATATATTCCAGCTGCCAGGATCTTGTCATGCAGTCACTGCGTCGCTTTAACCATGCAGCACATTGCTATTCTTTTCTTGTCATGCCGACGTCCACTATCATGTGATTGATTGCGGTACGCTGCCATCACACAGTCGAATGCTATGTAGCTGACGCCCTTGATCAGGCATGTCCATCAACGAATCTGCTACCGATCGACCGACACAAATGTACGCAAAGTAGATCGCGAAAACGTTTATAAAACGGTTTGATCGGTTATACAGCACGTTGGAAGTGGGGCTACAATTGGCATCATTGCCCAACTATCGACACAAGCTTCTGAACTGACCGACTGACTGACTGCGTTGTACCCGATCATACTCTCTTGCAACCAGCTCCGGCTGTAGCTCGATCATGCAGCTACTGATGTCGTCGTCGTCGTGGCCATGATGTGGTGTCGTTCAGAGTGCCTTCAGAATGATTTGGCAACGAGTGTGCTTGACAAGGCTGAGGGGCTGCCGGATACTGTGGTATCCGCACAATTGACAGCTTCAAATCAACCCCGCGCAGGCAGACAGAGAGCAATTACTTAAGAAGGGACTCAGCATGTGCGCATGAGGAGCCTGTTCACACATGAGACTTCAGCAAGAACGCTATGTAGATGAAAGGCCGTTGAATCCTCTTCAAAACACAAAAAGTCATGAACTTCAAGTTCGGAACTCTCGAGGGTTTGTCAAGATGGCGCTGGATGCCATGATGGCGCCTCGATGGCGCCCTCTGAGTGGGAGCAAATCTGTACCGGTCCCCATCAATGTCACTGCATGGGTATCTCGCGAGGTTCAGGGATGTGATTGACACCAGGGTCTGAAGCGTGCCGAGGCCCGGGAAAGTGCGCCCCCGGTTGCCAAGATACCAACCAGCTGCCCCGGGCACCAAATGTCAAATCAAGCTCGAAAGCTTCCACAGGCGGCGACAATCAGGAAGGCAGAGCCTCCAATGGCAGTGTTCATGCACGAAGTTTTTGCAAGGAGCAGAGCTGCAGCGAGCCCTTTTACTTCCTGGCGAAGAACTTCGGTACAACCATCCTGCACGCATCGTTATTACGAGAGCGCTTTCTTCGCAAACCCTTTAGGAGGCGGCACTTGGGACGTACCTGTCCTCTCTGCTTTCAAGAATTTTGAGCCAAACCTACGAAACAAGATGGAAGCGTCACCTGCCAAGGAACAGATTGACGTGCAGAAAACAACAGAGAAGATCAACAAGGACCTCGAGACAATCCGCGTCAAAGCTCTCCAGCATGCCAAAGAAGAGGTTTTCCGTGCTGCAGCGTCAGCTAAGACAGTCGCTGTGCCTCCCATGGTTATGCCCTCCGATTCTGGCACCACCTATGACATCCCAGGCAGTCTCAAGATCCTGGAGAAGGCTGTATTTCTGAATGACCTGTCAACAGAAGAGCTTGAGAAGGTTCTCTTCACCCTCTCTACCGGGCTGAAGGTCGGTCTGAGGCATGATGAGGTGCCGGAAGGCATGCAGGTATTTGTGCACAAGTTCATGCTCCTGGTGAAGCATCTTCACTCAGACAAAGCGATGCAGACCGCTATGGTGAGGAATGGACTGGCAGGCATGACCTCTGGCGGCCAGCTTCGCATGGGGCTGTATCCTGAAGCGATGGGGCTTGGCTTTCTGGAGGCAGCGGTTGACATTGTGATGGAAGATCCCACGAATCTGGAGGTGAGCAGTGGATTTCAATCTGGCCTGCCACAAAAAGACGCTAAGAAGTTTGAAAGGAGAACCTCTAGTTATGAATGTTTTTAGATTCTAGTTGGTCGCATAGACAGAGAATTCAAAAAGCAAAATCAGCTGTTACTTGGTCACTCAGTCACAGATTTTGTTACAGCATTTTGTCCTGTATTTGGACTGCAAGAAGCTGAAAACGGATGAATGCACTCGTTTCGTAGAGAATCTTCTTTCCCAGGAACTTTGATTTGAAAATGTGTCTGCTGTCCAATCATCCTATCTCTTTCCAGAAGAAGCACTGTCAAATGTGGAGCCGCTGATTCAGACCATCCTCAGATTTATCTCGAAGGTCCAAAGCTTGGTTGACAGACGCAATTGGGCAGAATTTTTCGGCAAACAGCGATCTCAAAAAGGTATTTCATTATCTCTGATTTGCCTTGAAGTGTGTCATTCCAACCAAGGTTGGAGTTTCGAAGAAGTGGAGTGAGGTTTAGTTTGTGTCTTGCCGAAATCAAGACGTGTCTCGCATTTCAACAGGCCCTGCAGACTCTCTCCGTTTTCATAGCGGATGGAGGACCTGCTTACGTTAAGAAGTTCCACGAGAGAGGAGCGCTGCAGCCGTTGATCGCCAACTTCGTCGCTTCAGAGTTCACTCTAGACGATCTGCTCCGTCCGATGGATGTGAATCTACCCGGATGGACGGTCAGGCTCTTCGGCAGTCTCGTGGCGCCGGACTTTGAGTTCAGGGCGGCGTACGGCGGCCGATTAGATCCTCGGCAGCTGGTTCCTGGAGCAAGCTGTCTGTCAGGTAGGACGTTTTATCTTCTAAGAAGAGCTTCCACTCTTGATTTTCCTTGATGCTGAAGGACTTCAACAAAGTATTATGCACATCAAACAATATTGCAGGCTCCTAAAAACGGGGCTTATTGTGCACGAACGGCTAGAATGATCAATGACAACCGTCCGGTTCTTCGACTCGTGTTGCGAATTGCTCTTTAAGGATATTGGAGCTGCTCATCCGTTCAGGGGGATGATCTCACAAGCTCAGATAATCCTATCAAAAAGAGTGATTTTTCCAGTTTTGAAGGTGCAAAGGGGGTTAAGGCACCTGCAGCAGTCATAGGAGAGTTATTCTGCACTTATTGTGCTTTCGAAACTTAAGATAGACCCTTCGCAATTCTAACTTCACATATCACGCCTCGACATTTGAAACATACCAGTAAGCAGTGACCCCGTTCTGGATTGAGGCCGTTCTGGATTGAGGTCGTTCCTAAAGAGGCTTTTCGTGCGGCCACCGTCAAAGGTCATTCAAGCTCATCGACGAAGTAGTTATGCGTGATGCGTGTTGCATAAGACTGACACGCACTTCTTTCAGGCGTGAAGAAGCAGGCGACTGAGGCCCTGATCAAGGGAGGCGCCGTCCGGAAGCTGGTGCGCGTGCTCGCGCAGATGGCCGAGCGCGCGGGCGACGTCCCGCGCGATGTGCACCTAATCGACTTTGGCAAGATGCTGGGGAATCTGGCCAGTGTCCTAGCCAACGTCTCCAACGCGCAGCAGATGTTCCTCGACGACCTAAGATCTGTACCTGGTAAGGTCCTTCCACCGAATCGGATATGAGGAAGGCGCGCTTCTGACAGCTTGTTCGAGAGCATTGGGAAGTACTTGATCTGTTCGAAGATGCTAGGATCCAACAACTTTTTACCAGATCATAGCGTGTGTCTTGCTGTGATCGGTTCAGAAAATAACATTCCTGCTAAAGATCTGTTCCCTCAGCGGGCCACCATACTGTTCGTAGAGGGAGCAATCATGGGTTTAGCTTACTGTTCACGCGTCGACCGTCCGGATTTCAGGCTCTAGTAAAGAGAACGCTTTCTTTCTCAAAGGGTACTTTGACCATTGTAGCGTTGCAATGAAAGGGCAGATCCAGTGACTCTACCTCTGTCAATCAATAAATCAGCTTGGAGAGAAATTGCGCAAAAAAATGCGGGTCAGACCAGCCAACATTATCCGGCCCCTTGCAACAGCATTAAAACATCCGTGCAGAGTTCGCGTCAAGCCTGTCGTGGCTCATGACCCACTGGGACTATGATCTTAGCTCCGGTCACACGGCGGTCATGATCGCCAAGAGACTAACCAAGAGCGACAGGTAGGTTCTTCAGATCTTCGGGAACCTTGTTTCCTTATACGCTATCTGGTAGAGTGCTTCTGGCGGGCAGGTTGTTAGAGAAGAGGCAAGACGTCAAATTAAAATTAAGTCCTTAATTATCAGAGCAGTTGCTGAGTTTCGCCGACTCGTGCAAGAATGAAGAGGGTCTTTGTTGGCACGTGACCCAGCTCGCGTGACTTCTTTCAGAAGCGAGCGCATCACTGAGGGGATTGGTTGTGAGTCGAGAGGCTTACGAAAGCTTTTGCTGGGAAAGAGCGACAGACATCTAAAACTGCTTCCAGACTGGAATCCTGCTTCTCTTGGTATCTTGATCCTCACGGTCGCACAAGTGAGTCTTTGTAAGACCTTTGCACCGATGTCCGTGCAATCATGTGCTGCAAAATTGGACAAGTTGGCTTGCGATCTGCTCATCACGCAGGCCGGAAGACAAGGCCCTGGTCGCTGAAATCGTCCGTCAGGAGGGCCTCCTCGCCGCGGTCGCAAGATTTGTCGATTTCTCCCCCAACTTTGTGGTGGTTCCGGGGCCCACAGGCGTCAAAGAAGTGAACGTAAGTCCGTCTACCGATCGCACTGCCCTCGTTTTTTCGAAAGTTTGATTTCCTTCTCTCTTAGCCTATGAGTCTAGTGCCTATAAAGTCTGCAATGCTGCGGGCCCCGGCACGTCTTATACACTTCATCTTCCATTTCTGGCGGGTATTCATACAGGTCCAATCTGAGAAGGAAACTTGTAAGGAGTGTCCTTCGAATGCCGTAATGAGGTATTGCATAACTCCTCTTAATTGACCGGAAGTCAATTCTAATCTCCAATAGCTGCTCTGTGTAGTGGGCGTGCTGAGAATTTTCCGATTCTTAAAGGATCCATTAAATCAGAACGCTTGCTGGTTGCCAAGTTTTTGAACCGGAGATCTGACCTTGGAAACACCTACCATTTTCCATTGGCCTTTTTCGCATCCTTTTTCTGACTCCTTTCGCGCCTCTCCTGGCAGCTGCTCCCGGGCGCCTTCCTCTCGCTTCTCTCCCTGGACGCCTTCCCGCCCGGTCCTCTTCCCTCGCCAGTCGTGTCCACTCTCGCTAGGCTTACGTCCGGAAACCAGGCACCGGACGTCCGTTCCCAGGTAAGTTTCGAAGTAAGGCTGAGTTGAGCGAGATTGAGATTCGAAATTGGCGCACCTTACTGTAACCCTAGAAAGAAACTCACCCGTTCTCCAACCGTACTCAACCTAACCCCCAGGCTAGCCCCAACCGTCCCCCGGTCACTGAAATATTTGTCACGTGAAATGGATACTGTTCGTTCATGGGCTGCGGACCTGCTCCGTCGCTTCATCGCGGCCGGGCTGGTCTCCCCCGGGGACCTCGTGCCGGGGAGCGTGGTGCACGGGTTCGTCCACTTTGAGGCCGGGGTGCAGCTCCCGTGTGACCAGTGCGGAGCGCTGAAGTCCCCGGGAGAGCTGAAGAGGTGCTCGCGATGCAAGTGAGTCGAGGTTGCTGCGCTGCAGTCCCGCCATCGGCTTGCTGATAATCTGCGAAACTTTTGAGCTGTCCAGGCGCTTCCAACTGCGAGGAAAATATTCTTCCGATTGGGAGGGGAATATTGAGCGGTGAATAACGTTAAGCTATTCTCAGTTCGAGGTGCAGATCTTGATGCTCCAAAGGTAGTTGGATGAGTTGATTGTTCCTTTTGCGAACGGCCTCTACTTAAAGGCCTACTGGTCCTGATATCATTCTTGAGTTCAGTCGAAGAGTCGACCAAATGGCCCCTCTTTTTTTGCAGGAGCGCACGGTACTGCAGCGCGCAGTGTCAGCGGGCTGACTGGAAGGAGCACAGGAAGACCTGTTTAGTATGAATCTGACTCTAGCGGAATGGATAAGTGCTGGCCTTAGGGGAAATTTGGTTGTAAGTAGTACCATTTGGATTGACTTTGGCGGCAGTGCCACGAAGCGAAGAACGTATGCTTCTTAAGAAACGCCATGGTTGGTATTATGCTACACAATACAGACGTTTAGGAAGATTCTGTCCGGTCGAGGCCCAGCATCGGATTGTGTAGCGCGCTGAAAGCAAGTCGAAGGTCCGTACGACCGTTCTGTAGATCACAGAGCAGTCACAGGATTCAGTGACAGCTTCAAGCAGCTTACACCATGTCAGTGAGCGGGCGACAACCCTGACGTCGCAGCTTTACCCCATCAGATGTAGTGTGCAAGCACTATGTCGCCAATAAACATATCAGTTCGGTATCCAGCACAACCCGCAAGCTGCGAATCGAATTGACATTTCTGTCCTGCCCCGCTTCACTATCTTCAGGTCCATGGGCCCTTCGAAGGCAGTCCGATTGCAAAACACAGGTAGCTTGCGTGTACGCATAATGACGCTCCACTTACAACACCGAGTGCAATTGTCGAATTGTGTGCTATTCCTCGTCAAACCAAAGATAGTCGGACTTCGTGATTCTCGAGGAATCGAGCACGCTTCGTCAGGATGACGTCCTCTGAGCGTCAGCAAACCTGCGCGGGTCATTTCCCCGAGCACTTACAGTAGTCGTCATTGAGGACCGCGCGGAGTCCTGAAGGTATAAGAGCAGAAAGTGGATTCCGAATCTCGAATGTGCCCGGGAAGTGACCCCCGGTCGTCAAGCTACCTTCTCCCTACCCCGGGCTCACCGGGGCCCTCGAAAGTCATGTCAGTCTTCAAGGTTTCATGCAGTCTCTTGTGACTTTATGCACGAACTTTTCAAATGTTTGGAAAGAAGCAGGGCAACAGCGAGAGCAATTTGCCTCCTGGCGGGCACCAGATTGGCACGCGCATCCTGCCCTCAGCTTTTTGAAAGGGTCTCTATGTATTGCGAAGGCGCCTTCTCCGAAGCCGTTTCAATAGGCACCCACTCAAAACGATCTCCTTCCGCTCAAGCATTTTGGTTCTACCTTAAGAGACAAGATGGAAGCGCTACCTGCCAAAGAAGAAGTCGATGTGCAGAAGACAAAAGAGATAATCAATGAAGACCTTGAGACGATCCGCGTCAGAGCTCTCCAGCATGCCAAAGAGGAGGTTTTCCGTGCTGCAGCGTCAGCTAGACCAGTCCCTGTGCCTCCCATGGTTAAACCTAGCGATCCTGGCACCACCTATGACCTCCCAGGCTGTTTGAAGATTCTGGAGAAGCCGGTTGCTCTAAAGGACCTGTCCGCAGAAGAACTCGAGAAAGTTTTCTTTACCATCTCCACTGGACTGAAGGTCGGTCTGAGGCAGGACGAAGTACCGGAAGGCATGCACTTTGTGCCGCAAATGATGGGCCTCGTGCAGCTTCTTCACTCAGAGAAAGCAATGCATGTTGCAATGGTGAAGAGTGGCTTAGCAGGCATGACCTCAGGTGGTCAGCTCCGCATGGGACTGTATCCTGAAGCGATGGGGCTCGCATTCCTGGACGCAGCAATTGACATTGTGATCGAACATCCGACCAATCTCGAGGTAAGAATCCTTGTAAGCAGGGTCCTTTTGGAGACTAACAGCTAAGGAACTTTGAGAAGCAGAGTAATTTGCCTATTGATAGTGTAGCTGTCCACAGGTAGAGAGAACTCAAAGCAAGGACCAGTTTCTGCTCGGTCATCAGTCAACTCAGCAGTGTGCATGATAATGCTCTATGCAATCATTTGTAAGCTAAGCTTCGAGATCCAAAAATGGCACTGATACCCTATACCCCTTTCCTGTTAGAGGTTTTCATGGAGTGTGTCTTCTGTAGAAATTTCTCTATTTTTAAAACACAAGCACCGTCTTTTTGAGAAAGCGCTGACGTCATCTAGGATGAAGAACTTGTTTATGTTGTTTCTTTTATCCACCAGTTGATTGCAAGATCGGATCTGGCAACCTTCATCCTCAATACTCAATCTTAGTTTTTATCAATTATTCCTGGTTTCCTTGCGAGTCAAATATTAGGGTCATGGTATAAGTAGAAAACGTAGGTAAATTTCAGCCTGAGTCACTTGCTGAGCTCGAGATGTTTTTCGTTCTTTCCACAGGCCCTGCAGACGCTTTCCACTTTCCTAGGAGATGGAGGTGTTGTCTACGTCAGAAGGTTCCACGAGAGAGCAGCGCTGCAGCCGTTGATTGCCAACTTCGTCGCGTCAGAATTCACTTTAGACGATCTGATCCGTCCGATGGACGTCAGCCTGCCTGGATGGACGGTCAAGCTCTTCAGTAACCTCGTGAGTCCGGATTCTGCATGGCGCGCGGCGTACGCCGGCCAAGATACTCGAGCTGGACCTCTCTCAGGTAAAATTTCGACGTGTTGGAATTTCCCTGCTGTTTCCTTTGATATTGCTCGGAATGACAGCCGGATAGGATCGCAAACAACGAAATTGACACAGGATTATTGACGGGGAGATCGTGCATGGAAGACAAGAAAGAACAGAGACAACCAGGCAATTCGGTTCATCGTGTGCTTGATTCTAAGAGAGAGTTGAAAGGCTGCTTGTTACATTTTGACAAGATGATTTCAAGTCCATGCATCTCAACGCAACCTGCGAGGTAAACAGCACATGCAATTTTTGGTCTTGAAAGATGGCTCATTGTCACTTCCATGCGCCTCATGCTCTGAGATAGAGCGTGTGCAACCTAAACGTCACGAGTGATACCTCACCATTCAAATACGATTCAACGAACTGATCCTTCCGTCACGGATACAGATGTTGGAAATGACAGAGTATTGAATGGCACCTGAAAAGGTACTCATACACAGACTACGGTCAGAGTATGGCACGCTTTTACGAACACTGACACACAGCTTTTCTTCCAGGCGCGAAGAAGCAGGCAGTTGAGGCCCTGATTAGAGGAGGCGCGGTTCGGAATATGGTGCGCGTGCTCGCGCAGATGGCCGAGCGCGCGGGTGACGTCCCACGCGACGCGCGTCTCATCGACTTTGGCAAGATGCTGGGAAACCTGACTTCCGTCCTGGGCAACATTTCCAACGAGGAAGAAATATTCCTCGACGATCTGAGATCCGTGCCTGGTGAAGTCACTCTTACCAATGTATCCGGACTTGTTCGAAAGTCTTCATAACAGACGTGCTAATCCAGAGCAGTCTTCTTTCATCCTGAGACCACACAGACTGTTTGATTAAGATTGCACGGAAAAAACCGCTAGACCAATCTGTAGCGCGTGTTCTGGTGCAATTGGTCCAGGGCTCTTCATTTTCTGCTGACAGATCACTCAAAGCAGCAGGCCCACCCTAACTCTCTTTTCAACCTCGGAGAAACATGTTCCTTTCCGGTCGGTTCCTTGCTCATGCTCCGCTCTCTTTCATCCGATGATTATCTGGCCCTGCGAAGAAACGGGTAGAACGGGTTGTTGTCTCGAAGGGTGCTCTGCCAATTTCTGTAGCGAGGCCTTGCATCTGTCATTTTCACAGAAGCAGAACACTCCCCTTCTCTCCTTCTGAGGAATTAGAAGTAAGGAAACAGCAACGAAGATAACATAGTAGATCAAGCGGTTTGATTTTACCGACCGCCAAACTCTTTACAGATACTGGTGCGAATGTTTGCGGCTCCTCAGGAGCCTCCGCTTGTTTGGGAACCTTGTAACCCAGATTCCAGCTTCCGTACAGAATTCGCAACAAGCCTGTCGTGGCTCATGACCCACTGGGACTAGGAGATCGCCTCGGGTGTCGCGGCGCTCATGATCGCTCTCAGACTGGTGAACAGCGACAGGTGCGTGCTTCGATATCAACGGGCCAGCTTGTTGCCTTATCTACTGTTTAAAAGAGTGCTTTCGGCGGGCTTCCTTTTTGAAAAGAAACGACCTTATACACTTCAGTAATGATTGTGTGAGTGTTAGAGCAGTCGCTAGCTTGGTCCAACTACTCGCGACGGACGACTGAAAAAATTTTCCCGTCACACGAAACGGACGGCGAAACCTCCCAGAGGGGGACGCATTTACTCAAGCATGTGTAGTGATCAAAAAGAGTGATCTGTAATGGCAGGCTGAATCCTTTATTCTTCATAAATAAGGAGATAAAAAAGTTCTCTCGAGATGGGCTTTGTTTGACATCCTGAAGGTCACGATATCGCAAGCGACACCCCTGACAAAGAGACGTGCAGGGGCACGGACTTTGGCATCGAAACGATGACATGTGTCAGAACACTGCTCTTCTTGCCACGTCACGCAGGCCGGAAGACAAGGCCCTGGTTGCCGAGATGGCTCGCCAGGAGGGCCTCCTCGCCGCGGTCGCAAGATTCGTCGACTACTCCCCCAACATTGTGGTGATTCCCGGGCCCACAGGCGTTCAAGAAGTAAACGTACGTCCATAAACAAAAAAATCCGACCGCCCCAGATTCCCCAGGCGATTTCAGCGTTCCCTCTCAATTCGCGTGTGTTTCCACCGGCGGGTGTATGTTCTTGGACCCGCACGTTTTCTGTCTCCTCTTTCTACTCTTTAGCTGAGGACTCAACCAGCTCCAAAGTACCAATGAGCATTCTTAGCAATTTCTACATGCTGCCGACACGAGGTCCCTCATATCATCCGTTTCTTGAATCTTGAGAACAGTGTGTAGCCCTCTTCACTGCCCTGTAAGAGCGGCTCTTGCGGCTTTCGTCGTCGGGACTGAGAAAATTTGATTCGCCTGCTTTCCAACGCTTGTGTGAAGATTCTATCGTGCCAGACGTTGCCAATCCGGACGTAATTCCGCTTCGACCCCTTTTGAACAAGCTTGCATTGACCATGTTCCCATCTTCCTTCTAAACCGTCTTTCCTTGTCTCGACAGTTACTTCCGGACGTCTTCCTCTCCCTCCTCTCCCTGGAAGTCTTCCCCCCGGGCGCTCTCCCCTCGCCCATCGTGTCCACTCTCGCCAGGCTTGCGGCCGGGAACCAGGCACCGGCCGTCCGCTCCAAGGTAAGTCTCGAATCAGCTCGTGGAGTTGTATGAGAAATAGTTTGATTGAGTATTGACAAGGGACCTTTTTAACCTTTACCCTAATCTTTCCCATTGCTTGATAGAAAAGAGGTGAAACCGAGGTTGAGATCATTCGAGAAGCGGGAGGATGCAGTTAACTAAACCCTGTAAGCCAAATTACCCGCTCTGCACGCGGTTTCACTCTAAGCCCCAGCTAACCTCGGGCCCATCCCCCGGGCACCGTAATGTTTCAACCTGGGTTAATCCTCACTAGACTTCTCGTTTCCAGGCTGCGGACCTCCTCCGTCGCTTCATCGCGGCCGGTTTGGTCTCCCCGGGGGACCTCGTGCCAGGGAGCGTGGTGCACGGCTTCGTCCACTTTGAGGCCGGGGTGCAGCTCCCGTGCGACCAGTGCGGGGCGCTGAAGGTCCCGGGGGAGCTGAAAAGGTGCTCGCGCTGCAAGTAAGTGGAGGTTACTGTTTCAATTTTTCTACTTGCACTTGCTGCTACTCAAAGAATGTTACGTGTTCATTAGGCACGTCCGGTATTTGATAATGAACGGTGAATCATGTGAAAGGCGTTTAAAGTGCGCGATGTAGACCTATGTTGGAGCTCCGACTCAAGTTGGAAATAGTGAATGCGCTATGTCGAACTCCTTTCAAGGGGCTTGAGATCCTGAAATTAGTCTTAAACACAATGAGAATGGGACCAGATAGCCGCCCTTCATTTGCAGGAGCGCACGGTACTGCAGCGCGGATTGTCAGCGGGCTGATTGGAATGAGCATAAGAAGACCTGCGTCGCCTGAATGTAGCACCAGCCGAGAGGATTTCTGCTGGATTGAAGGCTTCTCTGCGGTACTATAAGTGTAATAACGATCCCTCGACGTCAGTCGAGACCTTCGATAACATGCCTTGCAAAACACGCTACGGCTGTTTTGAGCTAGGCACTTTGAGCTGGTCCGAATACAGGGGTTTTAAAGTGAGTCTTTTCCGTCAGGCGCTGTCATCGGATTATCTGGTCTCGAATCGAAGTGAGGGTTTCTTGAGCCACAGGAGGGACTGTAGACTCCAGCATCAGGCACCATATCTCGGTTCCTTTCTTGCCAAGCGACACCTTCCTGATTGACCTACACGCTGCCTGCAAGCAGTGTGACTCGAATGAAAAGCCATGGCCATTTCATAGAATGTATTTAAGTTGAATGTTGTGCTTTAATTCTTAAATCAAGGATCTTCGCTATAAGCAACTATGGATCACGTGCTAATGTGGTTGCTTGAGCCTTGCGTGGGCATGCAACAGTCGATGTGCGTTGCACGACATGTATTCAAGTGCGACCGGCTCCCGCTCAGCAGTTGGTCTATCTGTGTGTCTATGACATGACGGGGACCAGATGACTTAGTCGAGCTGGATGTTTATGCTACAATAAGCTTCATGATTCTGACTCCATTCAGAGCTGCAATCGGTCACGGCGTGTCGCCAGTTTGAGTCAACCCAGCGAAGCCGAATCCAGTGCAGTGAGGTCGAAAGCTTGCAGCTAGTGCGCTTCTTGTGTCCTCTCTCACACAAACCAGTGCAAGGGCCGAATCAAATGTTGTTTGCTTCGTCGAGGAGAGTTTCTAGCACTTCGAACGTCGATTCCTCGCAAGTTCGTCAGGATGACGTTCTATGAGCAGCAGAAAGTCTGCGATGGTCAATCGTCCCGAGCACTCAAATGACCATCGTGAATGTAACCGGGTACCGGCGCGCCGGGGCCTGAAGATATAAAGCCAGAAAGCTGACTCCGGGCTTGAAACCTGCCCGGAAAGTGCACCCCGGTCGTCAAGCTACCTTTGTCTTCAGCCCGAGAGCCCCAAAATCAAATCAGTCTTCGACAGTTCATGCATGAACTCTTTCGAATTCTTAGACAGGGGCAAGTGGGAGCAAGGCGAGCATTCTGCTTTTCGGCGGGGCATTTTGGCATGCGCATCCTGCGTCACCTTGTGTCAATAGGACCTGAATCACGAGGCGCCTTGTATGCAAACCTTTTCAAAGTTACCCATCCAAATCGATCTCTCCGCTCTCAAGAACCTCAGTTTGATCCACAAAAGAAGATGGAAGCGCCACCTCCCAAAGAACAAATCAATGTGCAGAGGACAACAGAGAAGATCAATGAAGGCCTCGAGGCAATTCGTGTCAGAGCTCTCCAGCATGCCAAAGAAGCGGTTGTCCGCGCTGCAACGTCAGCTAGGACAGTCGCTGTGCCTCCCATGGTTATGCCCTCCGATTCTTGCACTACCTATGACATTCCACGCTGTTTGAAGATTCTGGATCAACGTGTTGCTCTGAAGGACCTGTCACCAGAAGAGCTCGAGAAGGTTCTTTTCATCATTTCCACCGGGATGAAGGTCGGTCTGGGGGATGATGACGTGCCTGAAGGCATGCGAGAGTTTGTGCAGCAATTTATGCTGTTGGTGAAGCATCTTCACTCAGAGAAAGCGATGCATACTGCCATGGTGAGGAGTGGCCTAGCAGCCATGACTTCTGGCGGCCAGCTCCGCACGGGGATGTTTCCTGAAGCGTTGGGGCTTGGATTTATGGACGCGGCTATTGACATTGCGAAAAAACAACCGGAGAATCTGGAGGTGAGATTGGTTGTTGCAAGCAGCTTTTCTTAGGAAGATTTGGCACTGATTAGAAATTGTGAAAAGCAGAGTGACTCAGGAATCTAGGTCAACTTGAAGTGCTCGCAGGTAGAGAGAATCAACAAATAATAGCTATTGTGTGGTTATCCAGCTTGCCTATACTGATTGTAACACTTTATTATATCAATTTTTTGACTGCTAAGCATGAGATGAACAAAGGGCATTTGTTTCTGAAATCCGTTTCCTCTGCCGTAGTATTCTCTCTTATACCTTTGAGCAAAAGCACTGTCGCATATATATGCAAGAGTTGATGTCTTCTCTTTCGTTCACCAGATATTGTCATAATCATTGAAGCAACCCTCATTCTCAAACTTCGATATTCGTCCTGTTCTTTCTATCTCTGGTTTGCCTGCGAGTGTCTTCCAGTTTCAAACAGCTCTAAGATGACCAAGAAAGTAAAGAAGCAAATGTAAGTTAGAGTTGTGTCTTGCTTAGATCGAGACTTGTTTCATCCTTTCCACAGGCTCTGCAGACGCTGTCCATCTTCCTGGGAGATGGAGGACTTGTCTATGTCAGAAGGTTCCAAGAGAGAGATGCGCTGAAGCCGCTAATTGCCAAGTTTGTCGCTTCGGCGTTCACTCTAGACGATCTGCTTAGTCCGATGGATGTCAACCTGCCCGGATGGACTGTCAGGCTCTTCAGCAATCTGGTGGAGCCGGATTTTGCATGGCGCGCGACGTACAGCGGCCAAGATACCCTGGCTGGCCAACTCTCTGGTAGGATCTCAAACGTAGTAATCTTTTCCACTCAGTATTTCTTTTGAACAGATTGAAAAAGACAGTCACATTATTCTACGCAAACAACGATCTTGTAGAATCCTTTGACTGGCAGGGTTGTGCATGGAATTGAGGGAAAAAAGAGAGAGAGTTACGTGTCTCGCTTCATCTTGCGCTTCAGATTATTCATAAGCTTTGTCACACTTCGTCGGGATAGTCTCAATCCATGCATTCTTGTCAGGTTTCCTCTGAGAAAATGAAAGGCACTTGCAGATTCTGGGGCTTCGAAGATTGTCGTCGTCACTTACTTGCGCCTCATAATCTGAGCTAGATTTCCCAACCTGAACGTCACTTGTCATGCCTCTCACCTTTCAAAAGGGTTGAACCAACCGTCGGTCCATTCAGCGCACAGATATGGTAGCAATAACAGCACCATCGAACAAGCGTCTGCGGAGATCTCAACTCAAACGAAGTGTGGTCAAAGTCTGGCACGCATGTCACAAACGACTGATACAGACAGTTTGTTCCAGGCGAGAAGCAGCAGACAATCGAGGCCCTGATCAAGGGAGGCGCGGTCCGGAAGCTGGTGTGCGTGCTCGCGCAATTGACCGAGCGCGCGGATGACGTCCCGCGCGATGCGCGCCTCATCGACTTCGGCAAGATGCTGGGAAACCTGACTACCGTTCTGGCCAACATCTCCAACGAGCAAGAGATGTTCCTCAACGAGCTGAGATCCGTACCTTGTGCGCTCATCCTCGTTAACTGAAAGAGCAAATCTTATTTTGCTCTGATTGTTTCCCAAAAAGGACGTTCAACCCAGAGCCATCTACTTTCGTTTGAGAACCGCTCTTGACTGTTTAAAGATGGTGCAAAATACAAGCTATGACCAATGCATAGCGCATTTTTTTGTTAGTTGCTCGAAGATTCAAGGTTCATGATGACAGACCAATCAGAATAGCAGGCCTTCCTGACTTTGGTGCGATAGCGGGGAGAATTGTTACCTGACTCTCGTCGGATCCCTGCGACGTGCCCAAAGACGCGTCGGCATTTTTGAGCGCTGGAAGGATGATTTTCTCTGTACAAGTGCCTCGGCCTTCTTACTATCTGATGACAGAGGGATCCCAAAATTGTTGACTTCTTGAAAGTGTAACAGTAAGTTCAAGACCGACACTATGAATGCAGAACTAGCCAGTTTATTCTTGCCGACAAGTGAACTCTGAATAGATTCTTGGCGCGGTTCCTTGCGGGGCATCCAGACCACCTCACCAGTTCGCCGCATTCTAACCCAACTCTTGAATCTCGTCCAGAATTCGCAACAATCCTGTCGTGGCTTATGATCCACTGGGACTACGAAATCGCCTCTGGTCATTCGGCGCTCATGATCGCCAAGAGACTGGTGAACAACGACAGGTACGTGATTTCACATTTACGGGCCACTTTGTTACTTTAACGAAGCTTCAAGGACCCGGCTTGCAATCTTTGCAAGTCAGTTTCGTAACTCTTCCGGTAAAAGGAGCACGACTTCGTAAGATCACTGACCGATATTCATGAAGTCATGCACAGAGTTCACAAAATAGGGACGGCAAAAGTTCTCTGATGACTCTACATCATACAGGCCTGAAGACAAGGCCCTCGCTGCCGATCTCGCCCGTCAGGAGGGCCTGCTCGCCACGGTCGCACGGTTCGTCGACCACGCCCCCAGATTCGCGGTGATTCCTGGGCCCACAGGGTTTCAAGAAGTAGACGTTAGTGCATCTACCAAACCTATTGCCCCCCGGCTTTCTTGCATTTCAAAGTTTTCTGCCCTCTTACCTTGTGGGATCCCAATGTCGGGTACCGTATGCATTCTCCTAGGCCCTGCCAAGATTTCACTCTCCTCTTCTGCTTCTAAGGTGGGAACTCAGTCTGGTCCAGCTTTTCAATGAGCATTTTGAGGAAGCAGTGTTATCAGGCCCCTCAACTTACCCCTATCGGTGAATTTTGAGAACGCTTTAAAATCCTATTCGCTGCCCTAAGAGATTGGGCCTACTGACGTTATGTTGATTTTACTTCGAATCACCGATTCTTTTCGACTCACCAATTCCTTCTCCCTTTCAGCTTGCGTTAAGCTCCTCTACCGCTTACCGGTTAGCAAATCTCGATCGGTGATCTGCGCTTCCAGCCCGACAGTCGTCCAGCTTTCCGTTGCCATCCTCGCAAGTTCCTTCTGACCCGTTTCTCGTCTCTCCCGACAGTTGCTTCCGGACTTCTTCCTCTCCCTCCTCTCCCTGGAAGCCTTCCCTCCGGGCCGTCTCCCCTCGCCAGTCGTGTCCACTCTCGCCAGGCTTGCGTCGGGAAACCAGGCCCCGGACGTCCGCTCCCAGGTAAGTCTCCATTTTGGGGTCGATTTAAGCCAGGTCGAGATAATATTTCAGAATCGGGAACGTTCTTGACTAAAACTCTAGAATTAACCTCACCCGCTCCGCACTCATACCCACTCTAACCTCACCCGTCCCCCATTCTTGGAATCGACTCAGTTTGTATGCGCTATCTTAACCCGACTTCAATACTGCTTGTTCCCAGGCTGCGGATCTGCTCCGTCGCTTCATTGCGAGCGGGTTGGTTTCCCCCGGGGACCTCGTGCCAGAGAGCGTGGTACACGGGTTCGTCCACTTTGAGGCCGGAGTGCAGCTCCCGTGCGACCAGTGCGGGGCGCTGAAGATGCCGGGGGAGCTGAAGCGTTGCTCGCGCTGCAAGTAAGTCCAAAACACTGCTTTGAAGTTTTCCCGCGTTGATTTGCTGCTACTTGAGAAGATTCCTGCTTTTCCAGGCGCTCCTAGTTGAGAAAGATTGATGAAAGGTGAGTCGTGTTCAGATGTTAAAGTGCGGGGATGCAGAAGTGCTCTGGACGTAAGTAAGAAAAGCGTTTGAAACATTGGCGACCGGCCTCTGTTCCAGGGGCTCATGATCCTTTCGAAAGGCAATTGAGAGTTTATTGGTTGGCCGCCCTCTGTTTGCAGGAGCGCACGGTACTGCAGCGCAGATTGTCAGCGGGCTGATTGGAAGGAGCACAAGAAGACCTGTGTCGCATGAATTACGTGGTGCTAGCCAGAGAAGTGCTCAACACAGAGGTGGGTTGAGGTGATATGTATCGAATCAATCGGCCTCGGCGCCAGTGCTAGGATCACAAATGTATGCTTCTGAGACAATCTATGGTTGGTCTGAAGGCAATTTGTCCTTCTTGGTATAGAGGGTGTAGGAACAGGCTTTTCGATCGGGGGCTGGCATCGGATAGTGTTGCGCTGGTAGGAACTTGGACAGCTGTACAAGTGCCCGAACCACGAGACGTAATGATGTCGATTTGAATGCATCTCAAGCTGGCCTTTTGCATCGGACATGGTTTCTTGAGATACTCAAGGTGCACCACTTTACCAAGCTAGTGGCCGCAAGCTATGAAGTCCAGTAAATAGCCTTTGGCGGGACCCTTGTGGTGTTTCCTCGCTTGAGCACATCTGGTCCGAAGCCGCTGTGAGAAACTACATACTCATGAGCAGCACGGGCACACGGTGTGCGTCAGAAGTGGTTTGTGCAATATAATCTGTTTCGTCGCGCGGAATCATCAAAGGATGATCACGTTGTCGATTGCTTTAATACATCGACAGCACAGCCGTTGATGAGATTACTCCTACCTAACCTCAAATCGGCGTGCGTGCGCTGAGTCAATGCAAATGATTGAGAGCACACTGTGACAGCCATGCATGATTGTTGAAAGTACACTTTAAGTTCAAGTCTCCGCGCATGCACTGAGTGCATGGGCTTCTTACAGATTTGTTAGCTCTATACAAGAAACAGATTTGGGCAAGCGCCACATAGCATTTTCAACAACCGGCTTGCGCTTTTGATCGAGTTGGGTCAAGGGCTCCTCAACCAGAAAAGGTGACTCCTTTTATAGACTAAACCTTACAAAGCCGCCATACACAGCTTGTATGCAGCTAGCGATGTCTCAGCAAGGACTCCGATACAGCCTCCCTGACTCCGCAACTGAGGCGTTACACAACAGCTCACTAAGTGAGCTACTCTCCGTTTTTTCTTGGAATCCGCTCGAATGGTCTATCCTAGTAGATCGTAATCGTCCAACTTGTCGTTATACTTGAGCACCTTCCGCTTGATCTTGGAGGTATCTACCCAGGTTACGAAGTCCTCCATGTTTCTTACCACCAAGAACGCGGGATCGGTCACAGTCTCTGGACCCACCCGAATATCTGCAACGTGATAGCAGAGCTACAATGAGCAATGAAACAGGCCTGGTTTGCAGCCAAATTTCTCACAGAGGTACCCTTCCGAGATTGCAATAGATCGGTTTCATCAGTGCTACTAAAGAGCGGCACCGCTGTCATAGAAATATTTTCGGACATTTCGCTGAGAGAAAGACTCGACATCCTTCGTAATCCTGAACAGTCGAGAAGTGAATGTACCGTAACCCCAGCTTTGCCCACCATAGAACCATGCACAATGCTTGATCATGCATACGGCAAAAGTGAACTGCTGTCAGGGCACCAATTGGTGCTGACACGGTCCGCAGAATGCTGAAAGACATCCGCCGTTTCTGGAAAAGCGACCCTTACGTCCTTGCTCCACAAAAGTCACCGCCTCCCGCATCGTCTCCGCAAATTTCAGCCGGACGAGCATGACCGCCAGTCGGCGCCTGAAAACAGAAAATGATGAGAAAACAACATTTGCTGCTAGGAATCGTGTCATAGGCCAAATAAAAATATTCATTTAGAAAACAACCTGTGAACGCTGTGTGAGATTGAAAATCTACATGAACCGACGGGCTAGTGTGAGTAAGGCCTATTTCCAGAGCCAAGGAAAAACTGTAGCAGGGCTCGAACAATAACTTTGAAACGACTATATCACAGAACGCGCTACAAACCTGCACAAGTGATTGCACAACGAACCATCGCACCAGCTTATTTTTGACTGATACGTCCGGGTCTGACTTACCGGCAGAAAGAGGAGGTTGAAAGCTTATCACATAACGCAAGGCTTTTCCGGGTCGGAATGACGCCCATATTGTACCTGCAGTGAAAGAAAGGAAATGTTTAGTGATGCGAGGAACAAACCTCCATATTCGGGCTGAAGACACAATTCAAAAGCTGTGGCGCGATCATGCCATCCCCCCTGGTTACAAAGAAGCGGGTTCGAGACTCAAACGGCACAGATGCTGCCGTGTTTTTCTCTGTGCCGAAAACGAAGGACGAGCTTTTGCACCTCGCCTTGATGAGAAGAGAGCATCGACTTACAGTTTCTCGAGCAGCTGATCAGTGAGCTCGATCCTGAATGGATCTTGTGGGTCTAGCTTCTTCAAGATGCTGGTCAGCTTGGTGACCATCCCGCAGAGTTTGTTGTACCTGCACAAAAGGACCGATGGACAGTCCGATCTCCAGTACCTTTATTTGTGGTACTATAATTTCCCCCTAGATCTAAGCGAAGATCAGGTTGACCGTGACACAGAATGGCATGAATGGCAGCGTTGGAGCAAGCGGAGAAAAAGCTTTCTCCTAAACCGGTCACCAACGAGGCGCATTAAGCTAAACGGCGATTCCAAGCAAGCGCGCGGTAGGTCCCAACTCAAAGTTTGTGCCGCAAGTAAGACGAATGACCGGCAAAAAGGACAGTTGTGATTCCCTCTCGAGTAACCCTCCGAAGGCCTGCGAAAACTTGGTAACTCCAGCCTAGTCTGAACAGGAGTGCCTGACCGCTCAATCTACCACCCTGGTACTGATGTAGAGAGTGCAAAAGTACCTCCTCGCCATCTTACAAACTACCTCTACTTGGAAGGTTGTGCAAGATCCTTGGGGAGTATATCACGAACCACTGCTCACAACTGAAGTTACATAAGTGAAGGCAACATGCCACCTCGATGTTGTTAGTTGATTACATTCTTTTAAAAACGAGCAGTCTGTAGATTCTCTCATATCTGGTGTCCACTTTGTTGCAGAAGGATGTGCAAGCTACATCATTTCGAAGGAGAATAGCCGATGCTCTCAACCATCGAACACAGGAACTGGGCCAAGCTCCTGCCCAAAGAACCTCCCTTCCAAGTCTGCCAACCGCCAAGATGCCCATCATACCCATCCAAAGGCCGCAACGTGGGCCAACATGTTCAGTCTGCGAACAATACCACCACCAGTAGCATCACAAGAAACTCCCGTCAGATTCTCAGGACTCACTTTTTGTAATCGTCCCGGTCGGTGATGTGGTACTGCCGCATGGCCTGCACTTCTCGAAGGTTGTGCTCGTTCTTCCATTGCAAAAAGTCGACTTTCTTCAGCAGCTTCTGCTCGTGAAATTTGAGCTTCCTCATGGTTGTACAGGATAGGCCTGGACACTTTCAGAAAACGCCCGCACCAAGAGTACCGGCAATTGATGCCGCTGCTATGGGACAAGTGAAACCTTGACTCCCTCGTGCCTGCGCCTGATTCCAGCAAGTATGTGAGTCTCACAAGGAGTTACAAAGCTACCGTCAGATGTCGACTTCTCATCTGCCCAGATGACAGAGCACTCTTGTGGCGGCCTCTGTTCACAATCTGCGGCTCCTGCTTTTGCAAGACAGCTTTGGTGACAGACAAAGCTGCAGCCAGCCTGCAGAGCGCGGCGCGCGCCCTTTCTTCCTTGCATCGGCCCGGCCAGTGACCATTATCATTTGACCATTACCACGAGCCCTCAGGACGTTTGCGATGCGCGCACATTCTGATGCATGTGTCACTTGCACCGTTGGATCCAGGATAGAAGATTGTATCAACGGTTTTGAGGAGCAGAGCAGGATGCCGTCGGACATTTTTCGATGCAAGTCCACCGCAGACTGCCCTCACATCCAAAACACGCTAACTTTAAGACTACAGCCGCAGCATTTGCAGCAATATGCAGCTGAGCTGTCTGGTGCATTTGTACTGCACGACTTTGTGCTCTCCTTGTGCACATAACTACTTGCAACTGTAGCCTGTATTGTTAAGTTTTATCTTCAGACTACATAGATAAGCTGCGTGCATAATGTGTCAACATGTTGATGTTGATCAGCACTCTTGTTTCATCTTTCATAGCGCTTTCCTCCACTTGTTGAGCATAAGTAGGGGGAGCCAAATCATCAATGCAGGAAGGGAAACGTCTGCGCCTGTCAGAGACTTGCCCAATGCTAGAGCTCCCTTTCAGCTCAAACTTTACATGCTGCTGCCATCCTAGGCTTGTCATCTGCGGCAACTTAGCAAGCCCTTAGCGAGGAATGTAAAAACGAAGCGCGGGTCTCAGGACGGGGACAAGGTATACCAGCTGGGGTCAGCATGGGGGGTCCAGCTTATGAGCGCCTGCAGGAGCCTGTGGAAGTTGCTGAAAGTGCCCCCTCATCTTCTGCGCAAGAAAACGTGCCTGGCCTGAGCCGACAGAACAGCTCTGAGCGCAGGGGTGCTCACAACTGGAGCAGACGAAGCAGCTTCCGGCAGGAGTCAGGACCGCTGTCTTTAGGCAGCAGGCAGGGCAGCTTCACCCAGAGCATACCGCAGGGTGGCTCTCGCAGAAGTAGTCACATGCACCTAGGGCCCCTGGGAGCGCTGCAGGATGAGTATCAGAGCAGGCCAATCACCCCCCTGAAAGGAGATCAAGGCCCAAGCCTGGCAATTGCCGGAGGCCTCATCAGCAAAACGCATCTGCTGACAACGCTGCAGCTTACAGGAATAACCTTCTTCGCAGTTGCTGGGGTAGGTGGTCTAACCTTGTCAGATGAAGCATTGTCATATTGCGATTGTTGACATTGCCTTATTGCTGAGGGAGACACATTGGAATGAGAAGGACATGAACCTTCCTTTCTTTCTGCAGATCAGGAAAATGAGCTCCTTAAATGGACACAACGTGAATGCCTGCTAGGATTACAAGTATGCAACATCATTCATGCAGCTTGGAGCAATCTGATTCGAAATTGTCAGAACAAATTGGTCGACATGCTCTTATCTCTGTCTGCACCGTGCCAAATTGCAGGGTCCGTATGGGTTGGAGGACAGCGTCGGCGCTGGGGGCGCCCTGCTGGTCTTTCTAGGGTTGCTAGTCCTGCCATTCATGTGGTGCGCTCCACTGGCCTTCATGACCGCAGAGCTAGCGTGCATGATCCCAGAGTCTGGAGGCCACGTGCTTTGGGTGTACCGCGCCTTTGGTCCTTTCTGGAGCTTTGTCAACAGCTGCTATGCATTCTTCTACAGGTGAGCAGGTCGTTCATGCTTATTTTCTGGAGTGTGTTTTTTATTGGATGCAAAAGATGCAGCATGAGGGATCTTCATAATCATCTGATCGATGATACTTTGAGCAACATAAAAGACCATACCCCGTCTGGCGCAGGCGCGTTTTGCCTCAGCAAAATTGCTACATAAAGGAACTGTCAGTGCTGTGCTCAGCATATCATGGTTTCTGTACCAATACTTTTCTCGAATTCAACTGCCACTTCAAAAACTTCTCGCAGCATTGTAAGAAGGTCGATGGAAAAAGCAGCTCCCTCTTGTCGGAACAGCCAGCATAGATGGCTCTCCAGAGCATAATTTGCAGATGCCTCACAATCTGACGACGAACTTCCAGGTCAAGAGATCCTGGGCTTTAGTCCCGGTTCCCAAATCCTGGTCTTCGAATCTCATACGTCAAACTTTGGGAAGGCAGCAACTGCTGGTACTCCTTTGACTCAGACCCCCTTTCTGTTGTCGTCTTACACATCTTCAAACCTTCTGCTCCCCTTTCTTCCTGACAGCGTCCTGGACAACGCGCTGTACCCCGTCCTGTTTGTCGACTACCTCTCAGAGTCGCTCTTCTCTCCGGGGTCCATCTCCACATCCGTCTCCATTGGGGCCAAGGTTGGGGTGGTCATGCTGGTCACGCTGCTCAACATCCGGGGTGTCGACATTGTGGGATCCGCTTCTGTCATCTTTGGCGTTCTGGTGCTCCTCCCCTTCGTAGTTATGATCCTGGCGGGGCTCCCTCAACTCAATTTCGCATGGCTCGCGGATCCCTTCCCCACCACCATCAACTGGGGGCGGCTCATCACAGTCCTCCTGTGGAACCTGTCTGGGTGAGCCAGGCATCGCTTTACTAATTGCTCTGAGGTTCGTCGTAGAAGGAGGCTTAGGCTGCAGGTTGTTGCTTCAAAGTCGTGGCAAGAGCACCGTTTCTTGTCTCCTGTAAGAGGAAGCTTTACAGGCGGATATGTTTCGATATTCAAGATGTTCGGTTCCAGCTATTGACACCCATTTGCTCCTAGTTTTGAGATTCTTCATGAATTTCGAAGCCAAAGTGGCCTGCAGCTATGTATGACCCGCGTCCTCATCAGGACAATCCAATCGAGACGCTCACTTTTCGCATTTGTGCACAGGTTCGACGCTTCTGGGAACTGCGCTGCAGAGGTTGCTGACCCGTCCCGAGCCTACCCCCGTGCGTTGAGCGTGACCGTTGCGCTGGTGACGCTCTGCTACGCATTGCCAACGTTTGTGGGGATAAGCGTGCTCCCCAACGTGGCAGCATGGCACACGGGCACGTTTGCGACTGTTGCTGAGCAAGTTGGGGGGAAATGGCTCAAGGTGAGGCCTCAATATCCTCTTCGTAAGGTGCAAACGTACAAGTAGCATACAGTCGCCTCTTCCCAAACATTTTCTACCTCTCGAAAAAGCGTAGACACTCTCTTTCGGACAACCTTGCATTGAGGTAGGGGTCACAGGCCGATTGAGAAATTTTCGCTACTCTGTGCTTGTCGGCATCGTCTTTTAGGACGGGTGACCGTTGAAGCTGTTAGAACCCGTGGAAGGAGAACGCGGACTACAGTTTTCAGTTCTGGACCCCCACAACAGCACTTACTCTGTGCGCGAGCTTCGAAAGACTCAGGTGTAGCTTGAGCGATTAAACGTAGCCTTGACTGGTTGACCGACCGATCGTAACCCACCAGGGGCTCGAATACCTGGCACGCAAATGAAATACTGTGACTGGACGGGCCAAAGCCAGGCGACCGGGTGACCTGAAAAGTAACCAATCTTTGAGCCACGCGCGCATAGGATACCAATATGGTGTGGGGGTCCAGAAATGAAAACTGTAGTCCACGTTCTCCTTCCATGGGTTCTGTTAGTTCTGCCGCTCCGCTCGTTCCGAGAAGTGTACCACGGTACCAGAGACAGTCTGATGCCGAGTCTGCTCAAATCGTCCTCGCAACTTTCAAAAGTGTCGAAGTACAGATGCTCTAGTTGCTGAAGCTACTTCACGCTTGTTCAGGTTTGGATGGGCCTGGCCGCAGCACTGAGCGCTCTGGGGCTGCTGCTCACGCGGCTGTGCACCAACTCGAGGCTCGTCTACGGGATGTCGCTCATTCGCCAGGTGAGGCGCCATGTTAGCCGCGGAATCATTGTGAGATTCTCCAAAGATTCGGAAGATGCCTGTTTCGATTGCTCTGCCTTTGCAAGGCCGAGTCGATGAAAGACGTGACGCTCGCAAGTAGAAATGCAAGCGAAAACTGGGAAAACGCAGGCCTTCACGAGTTGCTGACGTCAGCGATGCCGTCACCGCAGGCGCCACCTATGTTCCGCACGCTGCACCCCCGGTACAACACGCCGTGGGCGGCCATCCTGCTGACGTCCGCCTGCACGCTCTTCCTCATCGGCTTCAACTTCACCAGCCTTGCCGAGGTACGACACCAGGATGTAACAGCTTCTGACTTCTGAGAGCTAATTGCCTGGCTTCTGCGATGATCTCAAACGAACACAAATCGCAGGGAGTCCCCAAGAGGTTTACTGCCAGTCCGATCGAGGAGTTTGTATCTTTCGACCGCAGGGTCGTTAAAGCTTCCACTCTGATGCTCCTCCTCGAGCTACGATTACTGACGTGTTTCATAGAATTGAATTTAAGTGCGACTTGGGAGCTGACGTCGAAGGCAACATCATCATGGGCAGTCTCGGAACTGCAGAGTTTTGTTTGCCTTTGTGCTGACACGTGTCGCTTGGCCACAGGCCGACATGCTCTTCTACTCCCTCTCGACCATCCTCAAATTCGGGGCGCTGGTCCAGCTGCGCTTCAGCGAGGAGGACGCATTCCGGCCCTACATGATCCCCGTCTCTACATACCTGCTCGCGGGTGAGCGCTGCCAATGTTCTGTAACTATGGTTGCGACCCTTGAAGCTTTTGGTCATGCTTTGACGAAGGATGTTCACGAGAAGGCTTCGCACATCGATTTGCTGCGCTTTTTCTGGGGCCGACTCTGAGATGGTCTCCGAGCAGGTTCTCCCGACACCTACTGAATTCGACCTCGTCACAAAAATGCAAGAGTTGGACCTCGCGCCGCTCTGAATCTTTGACGAGCTGAGGACTTCGTGTGCGCGCGCAGGTCTGATGCTGGTGCCCGTGTCCCTCTGCATCGTTATGGCCTGGATGGCATCCCCACATGCGCAGGGCATCGCGTTGCTAGGTGAGTGCCTCTTTCCATCGGTTCTTCTCGATGCACGCATACGTGTCCACATTTGCGTCACATACGGCGCTGCACTATAATCTTGCATGCCTAAGTAAACTCTCGTTCTCTTCTTCACCTTTGTCTGTTTTCGTTCTCGCGAGCTCCAGCGAGTTCGTTGCAAGATTCACAACAATGCCATGACTGATATTTTTCCTCATCATTGAGGCGGTCAGAGGATCAAAGTGCTCGCACGCCAACTGTAAACTTTCCAAAGAGGCTCAATCTGCTCAAAGATATCAGCTTTTTAGCATCCAAGAAAGCCGTTCGGCAACTCTCCGCAAAAACTGACAGCACAGATGTATGCTTGCTGACGTCACAGTCTGACGCACTCTCTTTCGTCCGATCTGGCACGGCGGTAGGGTGCTAGGGTACGTCGGGAAGGATATCAGCTCTTAGCATGCAGGAACGCCTTTCCGAAACTCTCCAAAGTCGCCAAAACATTGCACAGACGTATCTGCTTGCTGACGTCACAATTGACGCATTCTTTTACTTCCGATCAGGCACGGCGGTGGCGGTGCTGGGGTACATCGGGAAGGAGATCTACCGGGTGTACTGGGGCGACATCGAGGACGAGATCGAGGAGCTGCAGGAGGAGGTGCAGGACCGCATGCAGGACATCCGGGGCCGGATCGACACCGTGCTCCACGTCAACGAGATCAAGGGCCGCTGGCAGCGGGCCATCAGCCGCGCGCGCGGTGAGCGGCGAGAGGATGACACGTGGCATCTTGGGGGGAAGCGCACTGTAGGGTCGAAAATATTCTCTCGTGGACGGAAGTATTTTCGCAAGGAGACGATTCCGGGACTTGGGGCACGAGTCGCGGCCTCGGCAAGTTTTGTGTTCGGCTGTTTTGTAGTATCTGGCGGGAGGAGGAGTCGACTCATCGTCGCGGGTTACCCTCTGGTTCTCCCTTTCTCGGTCAGTCAAGGAGAACGGTCACATTTGAAGATAAATAGTAGAATGGAGGTTTTCAAAATCAAGTTCGATTGATGCCCAGACAAATCGGTCATCAAACACTGGTGCAAAGGCAATTTCTCATAAGCCTTTCTACAGAGTATGAAAGGAGCGATGAAGCTTTTCCCGAAACTACAACACTGACACGTTCCACTTGCGTTCCGGCAGGTATGTCGGACGGAGACGAGCCCGGGGAAGGTACGTCGCCCAAGGCTGGCGGCCCGAAGGAGCGGAAGAGCTTCAAGCAGAGCGAAATCACCGAAGACGAGCGGGGAAACGCACCGGAGGTCGATACGTCGCCGTTGAAGGGAGCGAGAGCCTCGCCCGACTTGCGAGTTGCGTCGTCGGAGCGGTTGAGTGAGATCAAGGAGGATCCGTTGGACGAAGGAACGGAATCCGGCGGACTGACCCCCCTCGGGAAGTTGTCTGATTACACACCTGCCGCGGTTGCCAGAGCAGGGCCCGGTGCGAGTAGGTTGCAGCACTCGTCCACAGATTGAAGGCACGCTTAGGTAGCCGATCAGCTAGACAGTTCTTAGATTCACAACGGCTAAACTGTCCACAGTCGAACTTGCATGAGTATCGGCTTGCTTGATCAACGGTTCCAACAGAGAGGATGGTCCGTCTCACTGTGCAAGTTCATGCAGAAAGGTCGAACAGCTAAAGGGTTTCAACGTGGTAGGACAGGGCAAGAAAGATACCGTCATTACGGTCAGGTGCACCTGATGGTACATGTAAACCCATTTCGAGCGTATGGCGAAACACGACACTTCTTGGGCTTTCTTTCAGCGAAAGGCCGCAGTGTCTGGCTGCAAGAGCCCTCAAATAACATTTGCAGCGCGGACACTTACTTTGCAGGCCATAAGCCCACTGCGCTGCTTTCAGGTATGAGCGAATGACATTAGTCCTTTAAGGTTGACGGCATCGGTCGAGAATCATTTATGTATGTTCAAAATAGCCATGCGGCAGCTCTGCTTTGTGCCCGTAGTAATGTAAGATGTCCTAAGCGAAAAGCTTGTCTACGTTTGACCGTATGATGATGGCGCTGGATGAGCAATTACTCAGGAGTCACCATGAGGGGCGGGCCCATGATGCATGACGTGCATGACCAGGGAATCAAAAGAGGACGCGTATCGTGTAGGGCCAACGATTGATCACGTTTCCCTGACTCAGTAAACTGCGTGACGGATCCCGCTACGGTAGTGCATTCAGTAACACAATAATTAATATCGTAACAACGGTCAGCATCCTGCTCCACTGGGATTCTGATGCAGCTGTAAGTTTCATATCACTGTCATGATCTTGGGGCTGCGCCGTTTACTCGTGAAAGTAAACTTGCCAACCAAGCCACTCCGTATAGGCAGTTCCTAGGCTTATTTTCAAAGTGCGCCGGCTTAGGAGCTACGCCGCAGTGATTCGATTTTAGGATGAGGCTGATTCGGTGCAGAGATCCGCTGATGCACGCCGAATTCAGGCGCCAGTATTTGACTTTGCAGTATCCAACTGAGTCAAAATCCACAAAACAAGCGTTGCCTTTTTGTCCCCTGGAACTTTGCAGATGCATCAACTCAATTACTAAGCTCTGAGATGCTTAAGTTGCTCAGGATTCACCTCTTGCTAAACTCAGCCTTCTCGGTCGAACAAATTTCTACAACTGACTCAAACTGTGTCTTCGACAGTATTCCTGCGGAGGAGCGATTCGCTGACATCGCTCCCAACGAAAGCATGGTAGACATAAATAGTCGGTTCCTAAGCTTGCTAAGCCGGTTGCTCTGCTTACATTGCGTGACACTGGTTTGATGACGACGGCACTCTTCAACCGCTATCAGTAAGTGTTTTTAACCATCAGAGCAAACGAAGAATCATGGCGCAAAATGCACCGGGACTGGGCGGGTCAGCAGGTCGACGTACAGGGCGTTGAACCGGACGACGTCCAGACTGAAGATCACCTTGGACGTCTTCACATTCGCCGGCCCGGGGGAATCCCCCGGGTACACCAGCGCCTTTCCGTATTCGGCGTCGAAGTCCGTATTCACAGATGTACAGCGTACGGACGTCCGTTGCCAGCGACGGATCCACCAGGTACGCGAGCGCGAGCGTGTCAAACACAAACAGCGGATAAGGCGGGGGGCCCGGGCCAAAGAACGCGGCGAACGCGTTCCTGTAGAGCTCGGTAATTATGGTCGCCGGCTCGTGCGTCGCGATCTCTGTGTACGTATCTAGAGTGAGGGGGATTTTGTTGGTGGCGTCGAGCGGGATGATGTAGGCCGGAATTCCGCTGCGGAGCACCGTCCGAGCGGCGTCCGGCGCGAACCACCAGTTGAACTCGGCGACGTCGCGGTAGGAGTTGCCGCCCACATACATTTGGCCGCCTTGTGTGACCACCTGTCGGGCAAAGCAAGCGTCAAGTATTCTCGAAAACGGGGCTGACTCGAAGTTACTCTTCCTGAAGCGTTCGGGATCAGCGTGTTTGATCAGGCTATCTTCGACAACGCTGGAAGTTTGTCGGTCGCTAGGATTGAGTTGTTCGCGCCTCCGCGTGAAGTAGACGAGTTTCACAGGACCGAAAAGCGGAGGCTGGCAGTTCTTCGTTCAAGCTGCTTCGCCCGTCCGTAATACGTCAGCGCTCGAGCCACGAGCGTTGCGGCAGGAGTTGCAGAAGTTGAAAACCTTCATTCAACGCATGAAAATTGGTGACTATCTTAATTGCCTCTTGCCTGGCCCAGTATTCGAGGCCAGACATTGCTACTGAAGCCTACAGTGGTCCCAATTCAGCAACCGCCTACAGGTTTTTTCGCGAGACGCATTCTGCTTCTCGTTGTACCGATTGATCCGTTCCTTCTCCAACCGTAAAGTGCGCCTCTCAAGAAGGACGAGCGTTCACCCTTACCTGCTTAACCAGCGGCACAATACTGGGGTCCTTCAGGATGGCGTTCGCCACATTCTCCGCGGGGGCGATCTCCAGAATCGTCACCTCTCCGGGGTACTTCTTCACTTGCTCAATGATAAAGTCCACCGCGTTCATCGCTTTCGGTTGCGTCGCAGACGCAAACCCATCCGGGGGGGGAACCAAATCGCTGGCGCTCGGGGGCGGGGTCGCATACGCCCCTACGTAATCAATCGCGTCGCCGAAAAGAGCCACCTCTTCGGTGTAGTTCGCGAAGGTGTGCGGGAACGGCTCCGCCGCGCCTGCGTAAACGCCCACTCTAGTTGCGATCCCAAGGCGCTCCACGGCTTTCAGAATCTCAACGAGCTCCTGCAAATGGACCGCAAACTTAGAAATTGGAACGGTCCATACCGTTTCTTGAATTCAAGAAAATCAGTTTCGGACACACGTTCCTCTTTAAGTTCGAACCCTAGACCCTGCACTTTTTGAGTCTTCCGAAAGAGTGGCTTTTCGAGCTACGAAAACGATGTGAGTCTTAAATCAGGGCAGCAGAAAAGGACGTTTGGCAAGTCACATAGGTAGGAGAGGTCCAGCTCACGTGCCTCAGGTCCCAAATGCTAACACTCAAAAGTTGTCGCAGCTCAGACTGGCATCATTAGCTCAATATCGGACGGCTGTGACAGCGTTCCACACGAAGTTCCCACCGAAACTTTGGAAGCAATACGGAGCAATACGGAGAGCCCTACATTATGCTGATATAACACGAAGCTACACTAGCGCGTGTTCCTGGAGAAAGTCTGCAGTAAACTTGCCTGGTCCAGCCACGCGTTGCCGGTCGCGACTGTTAAGCCCAGAATGTCGATCACGCCCTGCGCATACAGCTGAGCAGCCATGGCCACCACTTGTCCGTCGTCGCCGATCGTGTTGAAGTCAGTGTCAATGATGACCTTGGGCGCTGGGAGAAAAGCCTGGGGTTCAGAGCTTCGTTTTGGAAGGCAGGTTATGCTTTTCCGCATCTGCTAAACGGTTTTCAGAGTTGGGCACACAGCTGTGCCGCCCTAGTTCCTTCTTCGCCTGTGGTGAACTCGTCAACAACTTTGGGCGCGTGCTGAGGTGAAAATAGATTCCTCTCTCAGCTCTCTGGACTCGATTGCGTGGTAAAGGTCGCTGCTGAGCGATATGTAGAAACTGCGTACAACATGTGGCAACACGTTGGGTGGTGCGCGAGTTCCAGAATCAGATTCTATTGTTGAGGATGTATGACGTGCCGCTCAGATGGGCATTGCTTGGAAGGGTGAACCAAGAAGAGGTTGGCTTAATATCTCTCGACTGACTCGGCACGTCTTGCGCTTCCAACTTTCGGTGCAGTAAGCTTCGACGGAATAAAAGTCACAGCGGACCAAGTCGGTCAGGTTACTAAGATAAGCATCTGTGAGAGAAGCAAAGTCGAACTCCGCATGTTGATTCCAGAGGGGTCACGGAGTATCTTGCATTCAAAAAGTCTGCACGCGGTGCACAAGTCTGGCCTCAACGACCTTAAGATGTTCAATTGATGACGTAATCATCAGCGAACGTGCAAAGCTGCGGTGACGCACCTACGACGGGCACGCACGTCGGCGCACCACTGGCCAACTGCGGGCCGCACTGAGCGTCGGGGCCGTTGCAGCATATGGAAGAACTCCCGTCGGCGGAATAGCAGGGATTGCAAGATGGCCCTGCAAAACATCGATTGCGCCGCTTTCGAAGACCACAGATTTGATGTGACTTTTATCTGATATAAAGCTGAATCGAATCTGGCTTCAGATCAGATTCGAGCATCTAGCGCGTGAGTCGAGCTCCTGGGAAAGGGAAGGACGTTCAAGCTTTTCCAGCTCACATAAGCAGCAAATGCCTCTGAACGTTCATCTAAATTTACTGTTTTAAGTGGGGAGACATTGGGCACTTGAAAGATCTGCAGGCTTGTACGATGTCAAATGCGATCTGAGTCAGGGTCTGTTTCAAGTCGACGTCCTGAACTCGTGAAGCTGCAAACCCGGTAGTTCAGGTAGATTGGGCGTTAAGCTAAGCTCGATCCGCCACCTAGAAGGCAGCAGTAGGAGCCACAGCTGCCCCGAATCTCACCTCAGCCCGGATCGAGCAAAAGCGAGAAAGTTCTTGTGAAGAGGAGATCAGTCTTCCTCCGAAACGTGGACAAGCAACAGACATAATGGTGACTTTCATTGCGAGCGGAGGGGCGTGTGACATACAGGATTTTGGGTTTTCCGGGTACATAACCAAACTCTTAACCCAAGAAATTACGCTCTGCATACCTGAACCCATCCTAACCACCCTACTAGCCCCACCCGTCTCCCGGGGCGCCTATGGTAAGTCGCACGCCTCCCGAGTTATGTGAGAGTTACCGGAGTGCAACAAAGGTGCAGCTAGCATACCTCCGGCGCTCGAGCATGTGGGAAGCCCGGCGCTTGTGAGCGGGCCGCATTGCCTGCCCCCCGTACAACAGATCTGCGAGCTTCCGTCGGCAGAGAAGCAGGGGTTACACGGATCTGCAAGCGGTGAGAAAAGGCCACTGGAAACGGACGAAGGGACTTGGACAGCATTGGCGCGGCAAGGTTGATGCTTGACACTACCTTTCAATATCACCGCTTTTTTGCTCCTCCTTTCAATCTCACCGCTTTTCGGCCACCGTCTTGCAATTTTATTGCTAGACAATGATGAAAAGCATGTCCGTTCTCCAGAGCGCAAAGTTGAGGAGGGGAGAATTGCAAGGGCATTACAAGTGGATATTCCAACCAGTTCAGAGGGGCTTAAAGTGCGGACTGTTCTTAAGGAGCGCATTGTCGATTTGAAGTTGCCTCTGGAAATTCTTTGAAGGCTGTATCTGTTCAGCAGATCACAGCATTGTCAAATCCTTCATGGTCTGGTGAAGTAAATGCTTGTGCAGATTTAGACGATGGAGGCCCTTGAGGCGCCGTAGAAGACTGCCAGTGTGCTTTCTTCTAGTGAAATTCTCATCTATCTGAAAGCAGCGCAATAATCCAAAAAGCAGTGGCTCTTTGGATTTTCGCTCATTTATTTTTGCCCATATCCTCCACCGCAAAATTAAGTGGGTCAGCGGTGCCAAGTGCTTTGCCCAGCTCTTCAGGTCCTGCTGCTCCCAACAAATGATGTGTCTCATGGTAAGGATATGTGCTAAGTGACATCGTTTCTGTCCTCCAGCAACAATGGAATATTGTGATCATGAACAGGCGCTCAGATTCAACAGATCCCTGGCGGTAGGACCAGGTGGCCAGCCCTTGTCTGCTTACCTTGCAAAAGGGAACGTGCCTCTGAAACCATCACTGCAGCCGAGAGGACAACAGCCACGACCCAGACCATGGTCCCGACTCCAGAAAGGGCCATTTTGCGGCACTCCAAAGGATTCAGGCTCTGCAAAAACGAATGTCTTGCGTCTGGAAAATGGTGGGCAGAATCACTTCCGTGCAGCTTCTCTTCTGCCAAATTAGGTAAAGGTGCACTACGGAGCTGCAGACCGTCTGCCAAGAATCTTAATATGAAGACTTGCAAATTGCCAGCCTGATCCTTCGTGCACTGAGAAATGAGGAATCCGGTGCTAGCTAAACCGTCTGAGGTTGCCGCCTACTAGTACCGTACTCTCAGAATTACCACAGTGGCACGGACAATTCGGACCAGCCTTTTACGACAAATTTACATTATTCTGTCTTATCAGTTCGCAAACGCGGGTTAAGACTAGTTTTTAGCCCTCTAACCGGGCACCTTTATGCTCAAATGATTTCCGGACTCTTTCGCACCAAGTCCGTCAGAATTATTTTTGGTGCGAATTGTCCGTGCCACTCAACATTTCCGAGACGTTACAGCTGTTTGCGTCAAACTTGCCATCGGGTTCCAGAAATCTTGAAGCGTGATTCCTGATCTTGAGCCGTCCGATGACTGCCTTGTCGTCGATCGAACGGTTCAAGATCAGGAACCATGATCGGATTATGTGAAACCCGGTGGCAGGTTTGACACAAAGAGCTGAGGACGTGGTGTCAACATTAGGCCAGGGACCACGTACCCTGACTGGAATCTGGATGCCTAGTACCTAATCGTACACACTGTACAGAAGTTACCGATACGGTACATACCTACACTTAACGAGTACCATGCCTACCTATACCGGTACTTACTACTACCAGTACCTTGTCCGACACCACCTTTCAAGTTTCTAGTATCTACCTAGTACCTCGCAAACGCACTACGGGTCATGCCGCGTGTATTGAACTAGAAATGCCACCGGATCACCGAGACCACTAACTCCCAAAATACTCCCAGAGCTAG